CTACAAAAATATAGATAAAAACTTTTTACAAAACAAGCAAATTTTGTAGTTTGTAAAAAAAAAAGATTTATTTAAATAAAGGATCACAAAAGTCAGTGAGACATTCTTATGCTAAAATTGTAAAATTATAAAGTATAAAATAAAATGCAAAACAAAACAAAATTAATAATTCAGAAATAAAGTAAACTCCCAATAACTAAACCTTCCCAGGGAAAAAGAAAATGGTTTGATTTAGTGAATGTTCAAGTTATCAAGTGACTTTAATGAGAAATTGAGTTCAACAGGAATTTGAGTTATTGAGATTTTACTGCATGTTGCAGAAAGTAGAAATTTGTTGAAAATTATCTCAAAAATAATGAGTTGAGGCTAAAGAAAGGACAGTTGGATGCTATTTCCACTCAAAAACACAGAACACAAACATTTGTTTATGTTAATGCATTCTAAAATAAAAATTAGAAACTTCTACCTTAGGGTAGGATTCATTAGATATCCTTAGTAAAGCATGATTTTTTACCTTCTAGGGTAGAAAATTATATTAAAAACACTGAATTGAATACTTTTCCGAAGGCATTGATGAAGCAGTTATACAAAAGAGCATCTTTGCTATCTTTGACAAAATGAGAAATTGGCATAAATTATTTTTATAAAATGCAAGGGGACATTAATTTTTCGATACTTTTATATTCATATTTAAATAATTGATGAAAATGTTGTCTACTGATAACAAATCTTTTGATGACACTGTTTCATCGCATAACAATATTTTTCTTTTTTTTGATGGACTTCTTTGACTAGATGACGACTCTTGGCTAGACAACTGTTGGCTTGTTGGTGTTAGCTGCAATTCATGGCTCAATTGAACAATTAAAGAATAAGCTTTTTTAAAACAAGAAATTTTCGCTGTTTTGTTAAACATAAATTTAAAATTACGAAATCGCGGATCTGAATATGTAGTGCATATGTATGTACAATTTATTAATTAAATCTTCTAGACAATGTTTGATATTCGCAGCAGTGTCACTACTCGTTGAAAGTGTTTTATCACTTAGTTTCCATTCATTTAGAATTAACTCAATTTGCTCCTTTAAATATAGGCTAGTATGAGCTTTTAGGCTATGCTTTAATGCAATCGGAATTGATTTCAAACAAAAATTTTGATCAACAAAATGTACTGTGGCGCTGGTGTATGAATGCAAGGCTTGTGATGTCCATCCATCTGTGGTTAGATGACAAAATTCAGCTTGGTTTAAAAGATGCATTACTTTTACTTTAAAGCGTTTGATAAAGTTTGGCATGCTGGTCTCCTCCATAAGCTTTCTTCTTACGGTGTATCTGGAAACATCTTTAAGATTATTGAATCCTTTCTTTCCAATCGTAGTATAAAAGTTGTCCTTGATGGACAGCACTCTTCTTCTTATTCTGTAACCTCAGGGGTTCCCCAAGGTTCAATCCTTGGCCCTATACTCTTTTTAATTTACATTAACGATCTTCCAGATATTCTCACATCTAAGGTGGCATTGTTCGCTAATCATACTACCATTTATTCTTGTCACGATAAGAAGCCAACTCCCTCTGATTGCTTGCAGGGGGCATCTGAGCTTGAAAAGGATCTCACTTCTGCTTCAGCATGGAGCTCACAGTGGCTGGTGAACTTTAATTCAGATAAAACTCAATTTTTTTCGGCCATTCGTTATCGCAATAATTTAGACCTTCCTATATTTATGAACGGTAATGAACTCGATGAGTCTCCTACCCTTCATCTTCTAGGATTAACTCTTACTTCTGATCTTTCTTGGAAACCTTATATCAAATCCGTTGCAAAATTAGCATCTGCTAAAGTTGCTTCTCTTTATCGAGCTCGTCACTTTCTTACTCTGGATTCTATTCTCTATCTCTATAAATCTCAAATCTGGCCTTGTATGGAATACTGTTGCCATATCTGGGGCGGATCTTCTAATGATGCCCTTTCTCTTTTAGACAAGGTGCGAAAACGCATTGTAAACATAGTTGGACCTGCTTTTGCAGCCAACCTTCAACCTCTGTCACATCGTCGTAATGTTGCTTCTCTTTCTCTTTTCTACAAATACTATAATGGTCACTGCTCTAAAGAGCTAGCGTCTCTTGTGCCATCTACTAAAATTCATTCTCGTGTTACTCGTCATTCAATCAAGTCTCATCCTTTTTCTGTTACTGTTCCTAAGTGCTCCAAAAACTCTTATTCATCTAGTTTTTTTCCTTGAACATCAGTTCTTTGGAATTCACTTCCTTCATCTTGCTTTCCTGATTCATACAATTTGCAATCTTTTAAGTTGTCTGTCAATCGTTATCTTGCTCTACAATCTTCATCTTTTCTCTTCCAGTAACTTCCAACACTAATTAGTGGTTGCTTGCAGCCTTGTTAGTAGCGAAGATAATTAAAAAAAAAAAAAAAAATGATTCAAACTTAAGTGGCATTATTTCATAGGAAAACTTTTGTCTCGTTGGCAATTTGTACTTGTTATCAAACAAAGCTAGCATTTTAATAAAGTACTTATTATCAACAATCTACAGCGGTTGACCTGTTTGAAGAACAAAGTTACACATAGATTCCTCTAAATCTCTATATATCTGCAAACTTGAACAATATGAGTGAGAGTTTGCAAATGCAGCTTTGATAGATACATGAACAGTTGTTGTACTTGGAAGTTTAGACTCTTTAATATTAATCCAATGGTTACTGTACAAATGAATTTCCATTGAGCTTGTATTTTTATTGTATTTTAGCTCTTTGTTGCAAATTTCGTTTATTATTTACATGTTGTTATTGTAGAGTCATTGTTTTTCACAAAATAATTTCAGACTTTACTTTTATGAACGTTTTCAATTCGACATTTTATTTCTACCATAAAAAGAGAATAAGAATAAAATAGCTATTACAAATAAGTCAAAGAATTCACGGCTTTTAAGTGTGTTCAGATAAGAATTTCTTCATGCAGAAATAATGTCTTAAATTTGCATAAGTACCTATCATTATTATTATTAAAATTATTCTAATCGTTATTAATTTCTAAAAGAAGTTTAAAATGTCCATTATGAATTATTATTATATGTATCAATCAATAAAAAGAATTTAATTGAATTTATTGACTTATTGAATTTTAATTGAATTAAAACAAAGAGATTAAAAAAAAAAAGATTCTCTCTGTATCATTTATCAACAATTAAAGCAAAAAATTTGTAAGGCGTAATTTTTGTAGCGTATCAAGGTGGAGGCTGGTAGGGCCAAACTTTTTTGTGGATTTCAAATTTAGAAAACTTTGTATCTTTTTGGCATCGTTAACTGACACATTAAATATTTTTTTAAAGAATTAACTTTTTATAAAAAGTCATTATAACAAGAAAAAATAAACATTAATGTAGTGGCACAGCATACAGTAAGCTGTGAAACAGGAAATTAGGTTCAAAGTTCAGATATTTTGGTTAAATTAAAAACCCAGCTTTAAATAATGATCTTGTGCATGGCTCAATCTTTACAAATATTTTATCTTTATAAAATAATCTACTTATAAAGATATATCTTTACTAATTGGTCAGCATCATAATAAAATTAAATATTGAGAAAGTTGAATCAAACGAAGAGATAAAGATAAGAATTTTAGGACCCGACTAAATCGACTTTTAGTCGATTAGTAGAAAATCTCAAGTTGATTAAATCGACGACTAGATTTTTCAAAGTCGACTAATTTCGACTTTCAACTAGTCGACTTTTAGTCGATTTAGTTGAAGTTAATAAAAGTACTAATCTTACCCTTAGGTAGAAACTTTTAGTTTTTTTTTAAGAGTGTACTCTTGTTTTAAATGTAAAACATTTAAAAAAATGATCCTTATGAATATATTAAAGATTAAAATTGTCTAGATAATAAATTACAGGCAGAGAAAGTTTGCCAAAGTAAAAACTTCTATACTTTAAGAGAGTGACAAAAGTGGAAGATTAAGCAAAAATTGTATGATCAAGTATTGATAGCTTTTTATCAATCATGGGTTTCCTTAATTGATGTCGAGTCACCATGCTGATATTGTTGATCACAAATCAAATTAGAAAATTAGTGTGCAGATAATTAAAATTAATTATTATCAATTAGATGATTAAAAATGAGTTACTGAGTAACTAAAATTGAAAAAATTAATTTTTTGTATTATTTCCTTATATAATTGAAGTAAAGAGTTAACAATAACTATTGCTACTTTTATTTCATCGTCGTTACTTTCACTTTGTCATCATCAAACAAAACAAAAAAATAAAAACCATAACTTTTTTAACATTTTTATTTTTATTTGTCTAGGCAAACTTTTTTTGTAACAAATTTGATAGAATTTTCAGAAAAGAAAACTTTTCCATCATTTCTATAGTAACATTTTAAGAAGCGTATTGTACTAATAGTGCAATTTCTATAATAACATTTTAAGAAGCATATTGCACTTATAGTGTTATCATTTCTATAGTAACATTTTAAAAGGCAAAAGCAGAGCTTGTGGACATTTCTTCCAAAACAAATTCTTTGGCCTAATAATTTATAGTTAACCTTAAAAAAAAGGCCAGAGAAAAACAATTGGCTTAAATGAATGAAATTTTCATGCTTATAGTGTTGATTGTGCCCTAACAGCAGTTTATGAACTTTTATACTAAAAATATACTTTTAAAAAAAATACTTTTATATTAAAAATATCATCTATTAAAAATTATCCATTTAGGGAGTAAAGTATTATATTCATACAAAAAAAAATGAAAGCAAATATATAAAATTACTTTTTAAAATCTTAATAAGAAACAGTCATTCTAATTAAAGAACACATTGTTATTCCAAATTGAAAAAAAACTTATATTTATTATTCCAAATTGAAAAAAAAACTTATATTTATTATTAAATTCATTCACTATTGACTACTTTTTTATACATATAAAGAATAAAAATATAATCAAATTTTTAAATTTAAAATAAAAGTATTGAAAATTCGAAACT